GAATGTCTGATTAAAATTAACTATGAAAGATTTTGTCTATGTTTTCGATGCCTGGAGAAAGTGATCTTGTGGACTCGTTTGTGTTTGGCCAGGGACGAATTCAGATATCATCGTTAGCATGTTTATCTGATTTTGTTATCTGGAATGAATGATTTACGGAGGTAAGTGAATATGATGTGATCTACCAATGTCGAAAATATATCAAGTCGAAGGAACAGTTTTGGTCTCGGTTCCCAATTTTGGCAATAAAATAAACACACACCGCTTAAAAAGATGATAATACGGACCACGTGCAAAGCTGTCAATTGTTTCTCGAATATTGCGCGTGTTAAGTATTCAAGAGTGACATCTCGCTGACATCTACATTTACATCTACTTTTATTACGTTGGTAAAATCTATACCGACATCACACCAACCAACTAGCGCGCAAAGTGAGAAGACTATATGAAGGCTTAAAATTATATTACGATTGATTTTCATCAAGAAATGGGCCAGTAATAATCCACAATAGCGCGAATAATCGTGAAAGCTGATCGCGCAAAGCGATTGCGTGACGCTCGATAAGTTGTAAGATGACATGTTATCACATACCAGACGAAAAAACTCTTTAGATTCTCATTCTGCATTTTGTACCCACTCTGCGGTCTGCAGTCTACATTTTGTATCCGTTCTGCAGTCTGCAGTCTCATTTTGTACAAACAGGTATCCGTGGGACCAATACAGTTTATTTTGGTTACAGTTGTTCGCACAACACACACACAATCTACCACAAAATACCTGTGTGTGAGTTAATTCGACATTTTCGTTTTCTTCCGCGTTAATACTCTTCTTTCCTTTTGTAAGAATGGAGACATCACTTACAATGTTTGAAGTAATCCACCCACACCCCAAAAAAAACTCTTGCATGCATAGCATGCCTATGTTTTCTAATGTCTCCTTAACTCTTTTACTCGTAGGAGTGACCAGTATCTCATTCCTCCTTGAAATATAATCATTGAATCAAGCACTTAAGATTGTGAGATAAGAGGAAATGATTTCCAATTAGAGAAGTTCTTGATTGTTAAAAGAACACCCTCCTTGTTAAAACCGAAATGCATAGAAAGTAGCAAGGAGAATATGCATAATTATGTTGGGTATATATGGTTTACGCGGGTTGTCTGCAAGTAATTACTGTAGATTGCGCCAAAACAGCGTCCCTATTTCAGTCTGTATTAAAATAAAAGTATATCGCTGACTTTTGATCCAACGTCTTAAGCCTTTTTTTTTTCAATTTTCGTGTCCATGCCTACTGGACAGAGGTGCCTGCTACATAAAGGATATCTTATAGGGGTAAATATGGGAACAGAAAATTAGTACTTAAATTGGATTATACGTTATTCAAGGTTGCTCTGTATGCACTCCACATACTCACCTTAGTTTCCTGTAAAAGTTTTTCCAAGTCGGGTTTACTAAGAATACCATGCGCTATCACGTACTCAGGGACATTTTTTTTTATCTCTGCTTCCTGAAAAGAAGAGACACCAGCAATTTTAATCACTAGTAACAATCTACAGGAAAAAATCATTATACATGCATTTTTGGTACAGTTAAAGTTGCAGTCTGTATCATAATGCGGACTGCTTCTCCTCCTGGAAAGAGATTAGAGACCAACGGTGATTAATCCACACTCGAGATGGTAAACTGAGCAGTTATGTTCGATCAAAGGTAAGGTTGCCTATTCCCTCAACCTTGGGTACAAATTTCTCTTCCTCTGACCTTCATCTCCATTATGATATTAAAGATGGAGGCAAAACTGTTCACGCAGAAATACTGAGAGCTTATTGAGGCACTGTCGCTAATAGCACTATATAACCTTAATTTATTTGCTTCAAACATTTTTCTCGATTAACATTTTTCTCGATGAACATTTTTCTCTCTCTGCAAACATACCGACATAGCAAAGAACGTTCCATGTATCTCTAGATATTTATGTAACGTGTCAAGGTATTCTCTTTTTCCCTGCAAAGGAAGAAACGATACAAAAAATAAAAGGAAATTTGAACAGGGAGGCTTCAAGGACATCACTCTGTAAATTAGTTATCAAACAACAGTAAAGGATGCTTCGATCGTTTCAGCTTTATTTTTTCCTTTTCTTTTATTTTTTTTCATCGTCACATAGCGTTTGTATTCTCAAGTGAATTGGCATATGGGTAACCATGAAGGCATGTGCGTCAGTCATCTCCTCCCACACCTTACGTGTGAGGTGTCACACAACATTTCGTTTAATAATTAAGACCTTCTATAGTAAATCCTTCGCTTCCTTTACTAGTAGGCGCCGGCTCCCATTCAAACTAGCTTAAAGCTGACCTTGGCCAGCCTGCATAAATATCGCCAATAAATAAATAAAGTAGCAGCGTTGTCTCTCTCTTCAAATATTTTGTGCTTCTCTAAAAGCGTTAATAAGATCTCCTTTAAGATCAAGGTTTCTGTGTAACAAGTTTTGAGAGGGGATTTAGGATGGCTATGATCGGAGGCTTTTGC